GATAGTCTCAATCAAACTTTTTTGTCCAGCTGGCTTGAAAACTTGATTCCACAGTTCTGCCTCTCAAGTAGATAGGATTGATTACAAGCTGGATTCAAAGAGCCAGGCTTCATTGATCTTCTGATAATCTTCACTACAACATCGCTGAAACTGACTTCAAACTTAGGTTTCCTTATGCCTCAGCCTCCAGTGGTGAGATCACAGGCATGTGACAACATATCCCACTATACATCTTTTACCAAATAGGTCTGGGTTCCTAAAATTAACTAAAATCAAGGCAATAGCAACCTGACACACATAATGCAAGAAGAATCTAGGGAAAATATACAAGTTCAGAGGAGAAAAAGAATGGGAGGGCTGGGAAGGTGGCTCAGTGGTAGAGCGCTTGCCTTGCATGCACGAGGCCCTGGGTTTGATTCCTCAGCACCACATAAGCAAAAAGAAACAAGCCGGAAGTGGCATTGTGGCTCAAGTGGTAGAGTGCTAGCCTTGAGCTGAAGAGCTAAGGGAGGGACAGCGCCTAGGCCTAGAGTTCAGGCCCCACAATCGGACCCAAAAAAAAAAAAAAGAATGGGAGGACAAAAACTCAAAAGCATTCTCAGAAGTATGAAACCAGCTAACAAATACACATTTAGGACAGGATAAAGCTACAATGAAAATTAAAAGCATTCCCTAAAAGTTTGCTTCTTCTCCTACATTGGTTGTCTGGGTTATCAGAACTCTAGGAGACCCTCAACATTGGGAGGAGGAATCATAGTACTACATTATTCCCTGTGCAATAAGTGTAACTTGGTAAGGTGGAAAAAAGTCATGGTCTTGAGCATCTGTTTAGTGTACATTTGCTTCTCACAAATGTTAGACCGTCAGCCTCAAACCTAAAACTTAGGGCTGGAAAGGCGGCTCGGTGGTAGAGTGCTTGCCTTACAAGCATGAGGCCCTGGGTTTGATTCCTCAACACCACATAAGCAGAAAAAGCCAGAAGTGGCGCTGTGGCTCTGTGGTAGAGTGCTAGCCTTGAGCTGAAGAGCTGAGGGACAGTGCCCAGACCCAGAGTTCAGGTCCCACGACTGGCAAAAAAAAAAAAAAGAACAATGCTTCAAGAAAAATGTGGGCAAAGGAGTAAGGACAGCCAAATGAGAATTAACCCAGAAGATTAAGAAAATAGCAGCTGGCTCATCCCTCATCCAAGGGGAAGAAAAGAAGAAAATTCTTAGCATTTTTAGTAAAACTAAGCAAGATACACCTCAAGATATTGCTTCAAGTGCCTTGTATTAAGCTTCAAAAGCACACATTCCTTTTAAGAACTCAGTAGTAAGTAATCCAGGCACTGGTGGCTCCTAAGTATAATCCTGACTATTCAGGAGACTGAGATCTAAGGATTGTGGTTCAAAGCCAGCCTAGGCAGCAAAGTCCACAAGACTCATATTTCCAACCAAAAGAGCAGAAGAGAAGCTACAATGCCCTGGCCATGAGTTCAAGCCCTAGGACCAGCCGAAAAAAAAAAAAGATTTCAGTTTTATGGCTGGCCCAAGTGGCTCAAACCTGTAATGTTAGCTACTCAGGAAGTTGAGATCTGGGGGACCACTGTTGAAAGCCAGCCTGGGCAGAAAAGTTTGAGAGATTCCATCTCCAAATAATTGGCAAATTGCTAGTCTCCAGAGGCACACTCAAGTGGTAGAGTGCCAGCTCTGAATATGCTAGCTAAGGAAGAGCTCAAAGCCCCTGAGAGTGCAGGTACCGTACCTCCCCTCCCCCCGCCAAATAAAAAATCAGTACTAGCAAAATTTTGTCTTGACTTCCTTTCAAATTATGAATGCTACATAGCCCCTCATTATCACTAAACCTAGTCAAGAAGCAGAGACTAAGGTCATTTCAACCACCATGGTTGTCCTTACCCTACTGGTGGTAAGTTGGTCACACTCTCCTCCTATCCCATCTTCCTCCAATCTTAGCTCCTCATTCTTTTAGTTACTTTCCCCTATACCTTTTTTTTTTTTTTTTTTGGGGGGGGGGGGAGGTCCGGTCGTGGGGCCTGAACTCTGGGCCTGGGTGCTGTCCCTCAGCTCTTCAGCTCAAGCCTAGCGCTCTACCACTTGAGCCACAGCGCCAGTTCTTTTTTTTCTTTTTGCTTCTGTGGTACTGGGGAATCGAACCCAGGGCCTCAAACATGCAAGGCAAGTGCTCTACCACTGAAACACCTTCCCAGCCCCAGCCCTACATCTTTTTTTGTGTGTGTATATGCCAGTCCTAGAATCTGTCACTAAATTTTTTTTGCTCAAGGCTGGCACTCTACACCTTAACCCACAGCTCCACTTCAGAGCTATTTGCTGGTTAACTAGAAACAAGACTCTCACAGACTTTCCTGCCAGGGCTGGCTTTAAATACTAATCCCCAGATCTCAGCCTCCTGAGTAACCAGAATTACAGGCATAAGCCACCAGCGGCCAGTGAATATTCTTTTCTTTTGGTGGTAGTACTGGGGTTTGAACTCAAGGTTTCAGACTTCCTAAGCAAGCAGCTCTATCTAGTATGTGAACCACATTTCAAGTACCCAGTAACAATTATTGTCAAGTCCCAAATCCCTTATACAAGTAGAATATGACTAACAAAATGTAATATTTCATGAGACAATACTATATGCCATATTTACAAATTAACCTTTTAAAAACTAAAAACAGCCAGGTGCTAGTGGCTCACACCTGTAATCCTAGCTACTCAGGAGGCTGAAATCTGAAGATCATGGTTCAAAGTCAGCCTGGGCAAGAAAGACCATGAGACTTTTTTTTCTTTTTCTTCCCGGTCCTGGGGTTTGAACTCTGGGCCTGGGCGCTGTCCCTGCGCTCTTTAGCTCAAGGCGAGCGCTCTACGACTTAAGCCACAGTACCACTTCTGGTTTTCTAGTGGTTTTATTGGAGATAAGAGTCTCACTGACTTTTCTGCCCGGGCTAGCTTTGAACCGTGATCCTCAGGTCTCATCCTCCTCAGTAGCTAGAATTACAGGCGTGAGCCACTGGTGCCCGGCTGTGAGACTCTTATCTCCAATAAACCACTCAGGAAACTGGAAGTGGCACTGTGGCTCAACTGGTAGAGTGCTTGCCTTGAGCTGAAGAGCTGAAGCAGCGCCCAAGCCTAGAGTTCAAGCCCCACAACCGACAAAAAAAAAAAGAGGCTAAGATCTGAGGATCACGGTTCAAAGCCAGCCAGGGCAGCAAAGTCCATGAGACTCTTATCTCCAATAAACTGCCAAAAACCGGAAGTGGCGCTGAGGCTCAACTGGCAGAGCACTAGCCTTCAGCTGAAGAGCTGAAGGACAGTGCCCAAGCCCAGAGTTCAAACCTCAAACAAAAACAACAACAAAAAAAACCTACAACCAGTTTTGAGGTAAGGACCAGTGGTTTGCATCTGTAATCCTAGCTAACGCTACCGGGGAGATTTGAGATCTGAGGATCCATGCTTCAAAGCCAGCCTGGGCAGCAAAGGCCCTGAGATTTTTATCTCCAGTTAACTACTAAAAAAGCCAGAAGTGAAGCTGTGGCTCAAGTGGTAGAATGCTAGCCTTGAGCAAAAAAAGTTCAAGGACACAGACCAGACTAAGTTCAAGCCTCACTATCAACACATGTACACATATACACACGTACACGTGTACACACACACACACACACACACACACACACACACACACACACACACACGTATGTTTTGAAAATTTAGTGCAAGACATTACTGGCTCAAAGACTCCAAACTAATCTGAATTTTCAATAAAGAGCAATTTCTTTAATGTTTTTTCTCACACCTACTGAATTACTTTCTTTTTCTTTTTTTTTTTTTTTGCCAGTCCTGGGGCTTTAAACTCAGGGGCTGGGCACTGTCTCTGAGCTTCTTTTGCCTAAGGCTAGCACTCTACTACTTGAGCCACAGTACCTTTTCTGGCTTTTTCTGTTTGTGGTACTGAGGAATCAAACCCAGGGCTACATGCATGCTAGGCAAACACTCTACCACTAAGCCATTCCCAGCCCAACTGAATTACTTTTAAAAGATAGTCTAGCTTGGCACTGGTGGCTCCCTGTAATCCTTGCTACTCAGGAGGTTGAGATCTGAGGATCGAGTTTCAAAGCCAGTCTGAGCAGGAAAGTCCAGGAGACTCTTCAACAAACCACCAGAAAAGCGGAAGTGACACTGTGGTTCAAGTGGTAGAGTGCTAGCCTTGCGCTGAATTGCTGAGGGACAGCACCTAAGCCCAGAGTTCAAGCCCCATAACCGAAAAAAGAAGATAGTCTAACATTCCTAAGTAATTCTCATGTGAATGATCATCTCATTGTTATGAGTAACCATCACATTTCCAACAGTAATAGAAACAAGATACTATGCAATACTTATAAAAGCGGTATTTCTAGTTGGAACTACAGGCAGGGATTTATGAAATACTGTTCTAAAATATGTCAAACCAATGTCTAGAAACAATAAGTTATTCAATTAAAATTTCAACCTGATAAGAGTGCTTGCTGGCCTAGCATGTATGAAGCCCTGGGTTCAATTCCTCAGTACCACAGAAACAGAAAAGGCCAGAAATAGTGATGTGGCTCAAGTGGTAGAGTGCTAATCTTGAGCAAAAGAAGCTCAGGGACAGCACCCAGGCCCTGAGTTCAAAGCCCCAGGAGCCCCAGGACTGGGAAAAAAAAAAAAAAGAAAACAAAAAACAAAAATTTCAACCTGATTGATTTCTTTAAAGGTTTTAAGGGGTTGAAGGCATGGCTCAATTGGTAGAGCGCTAACCAATGAACAAAAAAACAAAACTCCTCAGGTACAGGGTTCGAGGACACTACGGGAGTTGTTTGAGTCCTATTCTCAGACCAAAAGATAAATAAGGTTCTTAAATCTTTTACAAAATTATAGTCTACATTAATTATTCATTAAATATATATATATATACACACACTTCAAATAATTTAACTGACTTGCAAAAGGCTCTCTTGGCTCATTATAAAGAAAATAAAAACTTACCTGAAATCAATTTAACACAGCTACTTTTGTTATCTTCTAGAATTCTGTTGGTGCTTTTTTCTTTGCCAAGCACAGCATCCTCCAAAGGTAAGCTTTTCTCGGAAACAACACTGTCTTCACTCACCACACTAATTTTGCTATTGGTTCCAAGTTCAGAAGTGACTTCTTCCAGCTGAGCAGCTTCACCAGAGTCTGAATAAGAGGAACTCTTACCCTGGACTAAATTCTTTGAAGAAACTGGTAGAGACTCATCATCACTATCAAATCCAAAAGGATCTCCAGTATTTTCTTCTTCTACTTTAGGTTTCTTCGGAATTTCCTGGATATCTGGTTTGAAATTGGGCCGCTTCTGTCCTAATTTAGCCATAAATGTGGTTTCTCCCCATTTTGTGCTAAGGGTGGTCCGTTTGTTGGAAAAGACTTCATCGAATTTTGAACTGCCATTGCCTCCTTTCCTACTATATGTTTTTCCAAATCGGGATGTCATTTTTACACCTGTTTCATATTCCCTGTGGGGGAGGGGGAATGAAGAGAACATACAATCACAAAATAATTAACAAATATTAGTCACTTCAAAAACATAGGAATTCTCATGTAACTTTTCAACAGTCAGCATATGAACCTTTAGAAATTGTTAATTAAATACAAGAAAGAAAATAGATGCATTTTTCACTCTATATGTTTCCACTTGACAATTGTTACAATACATACTACTATGTGACTGGCAAAGTACAAAGGCTTAGTGACTGCCCAACTTGCATCTGAAAAACTTACAGTGAGGCATTTTTTCCAAGTTCAAAATGAATCGTTACTATTCTCATACATATCTTTACCATAAAAATAACCTAAATAAGGTAATTATTACTAATATAAGACCTTAAGCACCAAGTGTATTTTTCTTCAGGATCTTGAGAATGTCAAATAGTTGACTAAACTTAGTCCTGCAGCACTTATTCAAGGGAAAAAAAAAAGGGTTAGAAAAAAGGGTTTCTCCTGTTTTACATCCTGCAGGGCTTTTTTAGTCTAATGTAATTGGAGCTATGACTTGAAAAATATTCCTTAGATGGTCATCTCCTTGTTCTACCTTCCTTGTCCCTATAGTGTTGTTCTCATTAACAGAGTGACATTTTTCAGGAGCTGGAGAACTATAGCACATCACAGTGACCCAAGAATTAGTACTGTAAGAATAGAACCATTTATCCTTCATTTTCCTCTTTGATTTATAAATGACCAATCCACCTTACTTACTTAACACAATAACAACAGATAAAAAGCTCCAGGTAAGCAAATCAGGAGATAAACATTTTTAAATGTTATACTACATTCTTAGTACAATCAATTCTTATCCATTTTTTTAGCACTTCCAAGATTAAATACTGATACATTAACTGTAACTTGGGAGGTAAAAAAATTTGCTTGAAATAAAACCTTTATTTCTCTGAAACTAACAATGGAACTTTATTTGGTCTATACTTTTGAATACATTTTGATTTACAGTTTTATGAATATTTTCTCTTTATTAGTCTAAATTCTAAACAACTTATTCTGAATCACTGCTCAACTTGCTTTAACCTATCACTAATCTTAATATCTATCTAGATAAGCCAATTCTAATTTGACAAAATAACTTAATCATCATATACATTGGTGAAAAGTTTTCAGGAAGGAAATCTATTTTCCTGTCTGCTGTAGATTTTATAATAACAAGTTTTACTGTATTCTTATGAAGTGAAAGAATATTAAACAAAACCAAAGTATAGCGGACAGCTACTAAAGACTACAAAATAAGGTGTTTCTTCAAGGTTATAAAGCTTAGATCTGCGGGCCTACCTTTACACATATAACCACAAAGCTGAAGTGTTTTGAATACACGTACCTGGTAATCATCTAAAGTGCTGACTGAAGGCCAAACCAAAGATCTAGATTTGAACCCCTCTACACCAACGAGAAAAACTCATTGTAAAAATGGTCTTGGGGCTGGAAAGGTGGCTCTGTGGTAGAGCGCTTGCCTTGCATGCATGAGGCCCTGGGTTCGATTCCTCAGCACCACATAAGCAAAAAGAAAAAAAGCCGGAAGTGGTGCTGTGGCTCAAGTGGTAGAGCGCTAGCCTTGAGCTGAAGAGCTGAGGGACAGCGCCCAGGCCCAGAGTTCAGGCCCCACGACCAGACTCCCCCCCCACACACATACAAAAAAGGTCCTAAAAACTACAAAGCATTCACTGTAAGAAGGCTTAAAAGTCTGCAGATGAATATTTGATACTAAGCAGTTAATTATTTTCAGCGTGATAAGAAAATGTGGTTGCTTTTGCAAGAGCCCCGTCTTTCACAAATACATACTGAAACATTGATGTAGTAATCTCGGCAATTGTCCAACAGTAAGGAATGGTCAGTGTGTAAATGGAACAAATTTGGTGTCGTTAGTTACTGCTGAACCCAAGGTACGGGAGTAATACGAAAATTCATTATATAATGTCCCCTACTTTTGATTGCCTTTATCGTTTCTCATGTATAATTTTTTTTAAAGTCCAAGACTACTACGATGGCATTGGCTACGCAAATACAAAGTAGAAACGCGCAGGCATATTTGCCATTATATTTTAAGCTTATTTCGAATATACAGGCTCTCGATCCTGCTCAGGAGTCAAAACTCCAAAAGACCTTTCCTAACTAGAAAGGAAAGCATGATTCACGACTGAGCCTCTTCCGTCTCTGGGCCTTTGCTTCAGCCCAAAAAAAAAACCCGGTCAAATGTTGAGAGAGAGGGGCGCTTGGGATTAAAGGAAAGGGGCTGGGACGAGGTCCCTGACACTTCACTCGCGTCGAAGTCTAGCTTTCTCGGGACTCCGGAGAAGGAGGGAGGGAGGCTGGAAGAGGCCAACGAGAGCCGGGGAGAAATCCACACCTGGGGACGGGCGGGGGCGCCGCGGGAGCCGGCGGGGAAGCCAGCCTCCTCAGGATGGACGCTCACGCAACTTTTCGCCTCCCCACCCCCACCGCCCAGGAAAGGGATGTCGCTCCCGACGCCCCGGAAGCCTCGGCCACCGAATCCCTCGGGCCTCGACGACGGGGCCACAGAGAGATGGGAGGAAGGGGAGAGGAGAGACTGGGAACTGAAACCTAGACGCCGCACCGGGCATTAGAGAGAAAAGTCAATCAGCGGACGCCCGGAAAAAAAGAAAAAGAAAAAAAAACAACAACTCCAGAGAGAAGGGAAATCAAAGAGGGAGGGGGGTGAGGAGAAGAGTTGTTCCGGTAGCACCCCTGACCCAACTTCCTCGAAGGCCGGGTGGTCGACGAGACTTCCCCCCGCCCGCCCCGGTGTCCCCCGACCCGCTCCGGGCCTAAGGCCGCCCTCACTCACCCTCGGCGCCTGGCGGGTGCTCTGGCCTCGGGCCGCCTCCGCCTCTCCCGCTCCCGACAGCCCACGGGCGGACGCGGGAGCCCCGCGCGGGAGAAGAGGGCCGACCGGCGCGCCTAGGGAGGCCGGGGCTCCGCCACCGTCACCACCCCGCGTCTCCGCTCGGGTAAATAGGAAGCCCGGCGGACGAGGGGGGGAAGGAGGGAGCGGCGGCCCCGCAACTTCCCTCCCGGCTTCGAGTGCCGCCGGCCGGGCCGGGCTTAGGCCTCCCTGATCGTGGCGTCCGGAGCCCGGGCTGAGCTGGCTACGTGCCCCCGCGGGACCGCCACCTTCTCCTGCGTCGCCGTTTCCGCCGGTGAATGGTCAGCGCTGGAGTTTGAACAGGGCCCTGAACCATCTCAACGCCATTTGCGCTCCCGGCCCCCCCACCTCCTTCCTCCAACAGCCGCTCGCTCCGTCACTGCGCTTCCCACCGGCCCCGCGCGGCCGCCGACCCCGCAGCCAATCGCACGGCCTCTTACTCAAACAGCCGCGCAGGCGCCGCGCCCCGCACGCGCCGGCTGCCGCCATTGGCTCTGTCTCAAAGCCCGACGGGAGTTGTAGTCCCTGTCCGCGAGGTCACGGTGCTAAAGAGCCCCGCGCTGGAGCGGGCGATGGTCTTCCCGACGGTGGTCAGGAGCTTGGTCCTCCTGGGCTCGGGTGCCAGCTCCGGCTCCAGCTCCTGGCCCCTCTGGGAGACGCAGATGGCACGGGAGAGGGCCGGGGGCGCGGTGCAGGCAGCTGTGTCAATCGTTTCCCCTCTAGGGACCCGCCGGTGTCTGGGGACAGCGGGTGGTGGCGGCTGCGCCGCGCTGCCGCCGCCGCCACAGCCGCGAGAATCCGGGAGGCGGGGAACTCGGAGCTGCCCTGGATCTGGCCTGCCGAGGCGCTTGCCCGGCGCAGGTAACGACCACCGGAACCCGAAGGCGGAGGACACGGGTCCCCTCGCGGCCACCGTGCCCTTCCCGGCCACCGCGCCCCGCCTCGTTCAACGATTTCCACTCGCGCTCTCCAACTGTCAGTCCCCACACTCAAGTTCCCCCCAAACCCATTGACAGAGCCCCCAGAATAGGTTGTCTATCCTTAAGAAGTTGTCGTTGACCTTGTTAGGTGTTAATAACAGTAAGTTGGCTTGTTAAAAAGACGTTCTAAAGTGCTGACAGCTATGATGATCTGGGGAAAGGCAGGAATAAGTTAAAGTGTGGAGTTGTTTTTCCTTGTTGGCGCAGCCAGATGTCTACACAGGCTAGATCTATCAGTCTCTGTCCTCGTGTTATCTTGAAAGTTTCCATAACTTTTTAGGTAAAGTGGGTGCTGGTAGCAGCTCACGCCTGTAATCTTAGATACTCAGGAGGCTGAGATCTGAGGATGAGGTTTCAAAGTCAGCACGGGCCAGGAAAGTCCATGATACTGGTATATCTCTTAATTAACTGGAAATAGAGCTGTGATTAAAGTGGTAGAGCATTCACATTGAGCAAAAAAAGCTCAGGGATAGGAAAGACATGGACATGGGATTGCCTTGGGAGAGGAGAGGTGATGAAAAAAGTATTTTTTCGCTGTACATAGGTGTTTTTTTTTTTTCCTTTCCAAGTCAGTATAATTGAGAAAATTGGAAAGGTTTGTGTGTAGGGGGCGGGGAACTGTTATAAACTGCACCACAGTTGCCCCTAGGACAAGGCCAGGATTCATTGGACCCTGAAAGCCTTGATTTTGGTCAGCAGTTAGTGAAGACCCACCTGGGACATTAACAAACGACTAATTGTTTTCAGTGAAAAACTCTCTCTTCACAAATGGGTAATTTGCTTTGCATGCTTCTAGAACTTTCTGGTTGCCTCCAATATAGTTGGGGAAATTCTGAGTAAAGAGAAAAGAGTTTCAGGATCCAATTCAGGAGGTTGAGATCTGAGGATCTGCCAGTCTGGGCAGAGGTGTTCTTGATACTCTTTTCTATAGTTAGTCACCCAAAGAAGCAGGAAGTACAGGTGTGGCTCAAATGATGGAGCTCTAGCCTTCAGTGGAAAAAGCTCAGGGACAGGGCCTAAACCAAGCCCTTAGTTCAGCCCTGTTGAGGCACACACACCTAGCAGTATAGGTCATTTGTAGAGCGTCCCTAGCCAGCCAGTTTGCTCCCTGGGGAGTGGGGAGGACAAAACCCTGAGCCTTTTCCCTATAGGACATGTACAGTTTTCCTAATACCATAGGAGTATTTTCCTTTCTTAGCTTATAGCAAGTCTGTCTTCTACTGTGGGTGGTATTCACAGGACCATTTTATTTGGTCAGTTTTGTCATTTAAAAAAAAATCAGCAGCCTAGGATCTCATCATTTTGTTTGAAGATGGCTGGCAGAGGTGCAGGATGCACTTACTATAATTATTTAGATGACATGGTGGTGGATGCTAATTAAAGGGTAATTATCATCAGAGGCAAAAGGTAAGATCAAAAAGGCAGAAAAGGTAGAGAGACAATTGCAAGATATTCCTGTAGGAGAGTGCTGTGAATCTTCCCAGACCAAAAGATGTATTTATTAGGCCTGGCCTTGCTGGTTGCTGGGCACTAGGCAAGCTCAGTAACTGCTTGAATCTGAAGGGGGAAGGGGATCACTATTAAAGAAATAGTCTTCAGAACCCTTTTGAGAACATTCTGTGTGATGGTTGTATTGATGACATTTAGTTGTGTCAGATTCCTGCCTCAGTCAGCATCAAGGCATAACCCATGAGCTTGCTGGGAAGGGATCATTCCTAGCCTCATCCCAACTCCAGAAATCAGAACTTGCACCTTAGTGGGATTTCCCCAGGCAATTCACACCTTAAAATTAGACACTGATTTAAAGTGTACCAAAGGAATGAGGGAGAATGACAGGAGTATGAGTCTGATCAAGATATATGCATATATGGACATGTACAGCTAATTGATGCTAATAAAAACTGAAAAAGCAGACCTGTAGCATTTGACAATGATCTACTTTTTGTTTGGATGAGAAAGGGAAAGGAGAGGTTTTAAGAACTTGTCATGGCTGGGCACTGGTGGTGGCTCAGATAACAGGAAGTGGCGCTGTAGCTCAAGTGGTAGAGCGCTAGCCTTGAGCTGAAGAGCTCAGGGTCAGTGCCCAGGCCCAGAGTTCAAACCCCACGACAACCAAAAAAAAATTTACCATGAAGCTCAGCATAATAGGTATGTCTGTAATCCCAACACTTGAAAGACTAAGGTAGGAGGACCCAACTGGGCTACATAGTGAGACACTATTAAAAAAAAAAAAGGTAAATAGATAAATAGATAGATAAAAACTAATCAGGGCCATTTGGGGATGGAGCATGTGCAAGGCCCTGGGTTCAATTCCTAGCACCAGAAAAGAAAAAAAAAATCAAAGCCAGGGGCTAGTGGCTCAGGACTGTAATCCTAGCTACTCAGAAGGCTGAGATCTGAGGATCGAGGTTTAAAGCCAGCCCAGGCAGGAAAATCCGTGAGACTCTTAACTCCAATAAACTACTCAGAAAAAGCCAGAAGTGGTGCTGTGGTTCAAGTGGTAGAGTGATACCCTTGAGCAAAAGAAACTTAGCAACAGCACCCATGTTCAGTTCAAGCCCCAGGACCAGCACACACACACAAAAAAAGAACAAGAGCAAATATGTAAGTATGTGTTAGGTGTGAGGTCAGGCTCACCAGGGGCCTCTTGGGTGTCTCCGACTGTCCTTTACAGGTAAGGAAATGGGTATTCAAGGTGTTATAGAGGATGGATTCCATCTTTTTCTTAATTATTGGATACCCATCAGTATTTCAGGAAATGCTTGAATTTGATAGAAAGTAGTACATGAAGCCAGGTTTTGACACTCAACTGTAATCCCAGCCATTGGCAGGCCAAGAGAGCAGAATCATGACTTTGCCACAAGACAGTGTGAGAAAAAGAAGTGAGGTGTTGGTGGCTTGCATCTATAATTGTAACTGTTCAGGAGGCTGAGATCTGGAGCCAACCCAGGCAGAAAAAGTCCTCAAGACTCCATTACTAAAATAGCCAGCAGGTGCTGGGAATGTGGTTCAGTGGTAGAGTGCTTGCCTAGCATACATGAAGCCCCTCGTTCCTTTCCTCAGTACTACATAAACAGAAAAAGCTGGAAGTGGCGCTGTGGCTCAAGTGATAGACTGTTAGCCATGAGCAAAAAGAAGGCCCTGAATTCAAGACCCAGAACTGGCAAAAAAATAAAATAGCCAGCAAAAAGCTCAGCTTATGGAGTAGTTCAAGTGGTAGAGTACCAGTTGAGCAAGCAAGCCAAGCCTCCGTGTTCAAACCCCAGTACTGCCATTGAAGGAAGGAGGCTGAGCCTAAATAATTTCTTGCAAGCAGGGTGCCAGTGTCTCATGCCTGTGATCCTAGCTACTCAGGAGGCTGAGATCTGAGGACTGCGGTTCAAAGCCAGCCAAGGCAGGAATGTCCATGAGACTCCAATTAACCACCAGAAAGCTGGAAGTGGCTCTGTGTCTCAAGTGGTAGAGTGCTTGCCTTGAGCTGAAGAGCTCAGGGACAGCGCCCAAGCCGAGTTCAGGCTCCACAACCAGCTAAAAATAATAATAATATTTTCTTGCAGCCATCCTGGTACCTAGACAGGAGATGGGGGGGGGGGGGGGCTGTGCACCCAGATCCAAGGCCTAGAGGTAAGACCAGCCATCCTTTGAAGTGCAGATGCCTGATTCACTGGGGTAAGCTAGGAGGGCTGTGCTTTAGAGAAATGCAGATGTCATAGCCTTAGAAAAGCTTTGCATAAAGAGAATGCTCTGATTCTGCATTGACTCCCTAAATGGCTTGAATCCCCAGCCTCTGCGTGGCCTCTAAGCATACTCTATATGGAAGGTTACGGCCTATCTTCCCTAGATGAAAAAGTTCTGCTGGCACCTGAGTATGTGCATTTAAGGTCTAGTGTCTTGTCTTCATGGTGGGAGAAGGTGATACCCCCCTTCCCAGCTGGTAGGCATACCTGGATTCCTGGGGACAGGGATGGGCACTTAGCTGATAGGTTGCTTAACCTGTCAGTTCAGTGCCTGGAACTGGGAGTGTCCTGTGACCAGCCCCCCCTGCCCAGACCCTATTTGGATATGGAACAACATAGATGCCAGCATGCTATGCCATGTGAGTCTCCATTATCCTGTCCTGTGTCTCTGGTCATCATGGTGTCCCAGTTCAGCTAGCTTGCTCTCAGCCCTTAATTTTTTCATTGGTACTGTTTCTGTTCTTTCTTTCCTCTCTGGCCTGTTTCCTAACTGTTAGGTGTATTTGGGGACTGCAGGCCAACAGGCTGTTTGCAGGCTACTAACTGTGTAATAAAAGGCTTCAAAATTCCATCTTCCAAAATGTGGCTTCTCAGATAATTCACCTTACAACCCAGCAAAGAAGGAAAGAGAAAAATAAAATGATTGATGCATGATTTGAGAAGT